GGTGGTTCCCGTGTGCTGCTGGTCTGAGCGCTGGTGTGGGCTCCCCGGTCCCCCACTGCACCTCCCGCCAGCCTCGGCGGACCCGGTGGCTGCAGCTCCAGCGCGGAACAACAAGTTGGTTGTGGCTTTGCCTCATGCGAGTGAGTTAATTCACAAAAATTAAAATCGAGTGTGGCGGAGCCGCCAGATCAGCGCAGGACTAGAGTATGCGGCGCTGGCTTTGCCAGCTCAGCCATCCCTCTTCTTTATCGCCCTCCTTGTCCATCTCCGATGGGCTTTCAGGCTTTTCAGGGCAGAGTTTGGGGCCTGGTTTTTCGGGGGGGCTGGAGGGAGCCCTGGGAATGCCTTCTGGAAGGTGCTGTGGGGCGCTTAAAAATAATAAAGCTGCAAAAGCAGATTTGCAGAACAAACCAAATGATTATTCTTGCCTCTCCTCTCTTAAATCTTCTTGTGAAAGTTCTAAATGAAATATACTGCATTAAAAAAAATCCGAAGTGAAATTGTAATCTGTTCCAGTTTAGCAGGCTGTAAATATTCAGCAAACCATTTAAGTTGCACCCAGTTCTCTCAAAGACAATGGGATTTAGACAGAGTCTTGAATGTTTTAGCAAACTCGGGTAGCTGTAAATACAGGCTCTTTTTTTGTCTTTATGTTCCTTTTGGAGGTGACACAGACATATTTTACCTGAGGAGACCTGGGAAGGATATATTCCACTTGTATATTTAGTTTTATGGCCTCATGTTGATACAGTAAATCTGAAAACTAACTATCTGGAACTTCTAACCTGTGGAAATATCTTTCAGTGCATTAGAAGCAAGAGAACTTTGCAGGTATTGGATATTTGCTGAGAAGGTTTTGGGATGGGGAGTGAAGCAATGCCCAATTATTAACCAGGAGGTACGGTCAGGTGGAGCCCAGTTGGAGTCTTGGCCCAGCGGTTGCGTAGAGATCCGGGCTGGCAGGGTGAGGCTGAGCCAGGCACACAGCACCGCGGCAGCTGGCCTGACAGAACGCTGGCGAGGAGCTCTGCAGGTACATGCTTTGATGCTTGGTGGCCTGTCTGGGTGCAAAAATCATCTCTTTGTCCTCTCCTGCTCTAGAAACTCACTTCCAGTCCTGGTATGGGTGAGTGTGTTGCTGATTTCTTTGTGTTCAGTGAGAGCAATTAAGTAGTCAGGTTGTTACGTGGGTACCATCTGGTTTTACTTCGTTTTTACCTTTTTTGTTCCCTGTGTTCATTCAGTTAGGGTGGTGAACATACACATCCATTTAATTGTTTTAAAATTATCTTTGTTGATTAGTAATATCACAGATCTGGTGATATTAATCACCAGATAATATCACAGATCTGATCTCTTTAAACAAGAGACCTAAAACTAGTTTTGTTAATTTTCTTTTTATGTGACTTAAGAACATTGTAGAGGTGCTATTCTGAGTCTTGGAAAGAACCTGCGATTCATTTTCAGTGAGATAATAATGTTCTTTTCAGTGCTGTAATTGTCTTCAGAATGAGGTGGTTTGAAAAAAAAACCCTAGAAACTTAATTTCCAACTAATCCTGTGTAAGTTTCATGCTTAGGTGTATTTTACAATAATAAAAATGGTCTGAAAGTGAAATGGTGATAAAAACTTCTAAAGTCTTAATATATTTACATGTGCTTATTTCACTGTTATCCAAAAATGTTACTAATGGTGGTAGTGGAGTTGGGAAGAGGTGAATTACATTTTGTTTCACCTCAGGCAAAACCAGATGTGGTACTTTTTGAATTTGGATTGTGGAGTTTTCATTGCTTGTAGTGTGAGGCACATAAAGATAACAATTTGGGTCTTAAAAACCTTTGTGTGTGCAGAGCTGGGGAGTTGGGAAAATGCTGTGTATCTTCAGACCTCTGATGGGGGCTGATTTCTTCAGGAGGGGGGAGGACAGTGGCTCAGGTTCTGAGGAGATTCAGCTGTGATTTAACAGGTTGGTGTGATTGTGCAGGCAGAGAGTGCACGGTGTTACCTGTTCTTAAATCTCTGCAGGATTGAATTCTCCATCTGTATCCTTCTGGAAACCACAGGGCCTTTTTTCTGCCTCTCTGCAGAAGTTATTGACACCTGCAAAAATAAGTGTAGGGGCTGAGGATCCAGACAAGTTTGGGTTTTAGGGTCTAGTTCAACATAATTAAAACAAACAGTACATCTGCAGTGGTTGGTGGTACATGAACCTTGTCTTGGTGGTCATCTGCATTCGAGGTGCTTGTTAGAACCTACAGCAGTTGTGTTTCAGACAGAGAACACAAGGTGCAGAGGTTTGGAGAGACCTGCACCTTCTCTTTGCAGCACTGAAAGCAAAAGGCTTCTGCGAGGAGATGTCTGAGAAAGTCTGCAGTTTATCTGGCCCCAGACAATGCTGAAATTAATGTAAATATGAATGATGAATTTCAGCCTGCTGGGAACAAGCTGAGCCTCTGTCTCATTCAGTGCCATGTGGAGTTACCAGCTGATTGCAAAACATCAGCAGAACTCATGACTTTGGGACTGGACTGCTTGGTCAATGGACTTGAATGGGGCTTCATGGCTAACTAACTGCTTTTGAACTGGGTTGTACAAACAAGAGGTTTGAGTCAAGTTGTTTGAGCGTGGCACTGGGGATCAGGAGCCTTGGCACTGCTTTGGTGCTTTCTCATGGAGTATTTGAGTGAGACGCTTCGCTGCCTGTTCCTCTGCTTCCTTCTCTGCTTAGAAAAAACCCCTTTGAAATTTGCTTATTAACGTACAAGTTCTCGACATCAGAAAGGGTTGAAGTTAGTTTGGCTGTATCCCAGGTTCTTCAGCGCTGAGAATTGTGCCAACAGCAAATCCGTCTGGATGAAATTATCAAGGAGTGATCTGATGCCAGGATAAATATACACATAAATATTGCCTTCGTGTTTGTGTGTGCAGACTTTGTGCTGCGTCCTGCCCAAGCACCTCGGTTAAAGAAATCTTCCTGTGTGGTTCAGTTTCTGCACGTGACAGGTAGGTAGGCGGATTTCACAGTCATGCTTCCCCTTCTTCTCCATCTCTCCCCTCAATAAAGGCAGCTCGATCCAGCCTCTCAGTGCCTGTTGGACAGATACTTGTGGGTTGTCAGTCATAAAATGGTTAAGTACGTCTCTCTGTAAAATTAACTGCCCGTGGCCCCAGTGAAACTGGAGTTTGTGGGAGTAGCGATGTCAACACAGGGTTTGATCTAAATAATTTGAGTCAGGTACATTGATGGTAAAAGTACAAGAGCCAGTTGGATCAGTTTTTAATT